AATGTACGCCCAGGTCCAAAATAAAAATGGTAACCTATAGAAACCATCAAATTTCAATTCCGAGATCATTTACTCAAAAGTCAAATCTTGGTCAACTCTTCAAACTTAAAGCTTTCAAATTTAGAATTACTCTTCCAAATCAATCCTGAACTTCCCGAAAATCAAAACCAACAATACAAGTAAGTCATAATACATCATGTGAAGCTACTCAAAGTTTCAAACTATCAAACAGAACGCTAACGCTTAAAACGACTATCCGGGTCGTTACAAACTCTTATGTGAGTTATGTCTTTTTTTCTGTACTTAAGTAATTCATAAGGAGTCTTATCAATTATTGATAATATAACATACAATTTTCATAGCTTCAGCCAAAAAGGATTTAGGAATACCACTGGCAATCAACATGGTTCTTGATATATCTTCTAAAGTCCTATATTTTTTTTCAACAACACCATTTTCATGTGGAGTCTTAGGTGCAGAAAAATTATGATCAATATCAATATTTACACAAAACGCAAGAAAATTTACATTTTTAAATTTAGTTTCATGGTCAGATCTAATGCTAGCTACATGATTATCCATTTTTCTTTGCAGTTTCTTAACAAAGGTCACAAACATAACATATGTTTAGTTGCAAGAATATGGTCCAGGTAAATATGGAGTAATCATCAACATTTACAAGCACATACCTTTTTTCACCTCCACTTTGAACCTTAATGGGTCCATATAAATCTATGTGTAGTAGTTTCAGAGATCGAGAGGTACTCATCACTTTCTTTGATTTGAAGGATGATCTAACATGTTTACCTTTAGCACAAGCATAACAAATTTTATCTTCCCTGAATTTTAGTTTTGGCAAGCCAAGGACCAGTTCCTTAGTGATAAGTTCGTTCAATATAAAAAAACTAATATGTCCTAGCCTCTTATGCTACAAGAAAGAATCAATGCTAAGTGCACTAAGACATAATAGTTCATTTTCAGGTGAAGACATAATGTCTGCTTTATAAAAAAAAATTTGCCTTTTTCTTTGAAAACAAGGTTTCTAGAACTTTCATTTGTAACCATACACTTTCCAGAAGTGAAAAAACTCAATTCCCATTATCACATATTTGAGATACATTCAACAAACTATGCTTCAAACCTTTAACATAGTACATATTTTTAATTGTACGATAGTGGGACTTACCAACCTTACCTATCCCAATTATATCACCTTTCTTACTATTTTCAAAGCTTACACTCTCTCCTTGATAGGCTCTCAGTGGGGGGAAATTATCTCTATTTCTAGTCATTTGATGAGAGTAAACACTATCCACATATCACCAGTTCTTGCTTCCGCTCACTTTAGCCTGCAAAAATATTCATGGGTTAGCTTTAGGAACCTAGACAAGTGTGGGTCCCTTCCTTTGAGTAAAAAGATGAATCACATTATTTTTAGTCCATCCTGGTAATCTTTCATTTTTCAGTAAAGAACCAGGTTTAATAACTTTTCTTTTCTCAACATATGTGATATTCTTCATATTTTCTTTGATTCATGTTGTGCATGTTTTCTTGAAGTGCCAATTATTACCATAGTGTGCACATGCGATTGTAGGGATATCAACATACTTTCTGTGTGGATTATATGTGGTTTTATCCTTAGTATGTCCTAGACCCTTTTTTTTACTACCGTGGTTTCCATGCAGCTTAAACATTATATGTCAAGACCTGGTCCATTTGTTATTTCATTCTAATTCATACATAACCTTATCCAAATTCTATGAAGCACCGTAGTCTTTTCAGATTCAACTAGGACATTAGTGTTAACTCTATTCAGTTCACTTTCTAGTTTCTCCTAATATTTGAGGTTATGTCCTTATCTTTTGTGGGAGAATAAAGCAATTTCTTATTCTCAATTTCTAAAGTTACTTTCTCATCTTCAAGTATAAGAACCTGGTCCTTCATATTAGCAATGAAAATTTCAGGTTCTCCTTGCTTATTTCTAGATCCTTATTATCAAACCTATATAATGCATAATCATTTATTACTCGTTCCTTTTCAGCAAAAATCTTTTGATATGCATCAATCAGGACACCAGACAAGGAAATAAATTTCTATTTAGAATAAGCATGAATTTTATCTTTGATGTCATGAAAGCTTACCTCATGTTCTTCTTCATTATCAACATCAGAGTCTGTTTTCATAATGCCAGGAGTTCTTCATGTTCTAAGTCACTGTCTTCTTTGGCCATCAGTGACTAATCATCTTTATCACTTTCTTCATCATCATCAGACTCATCACTTGAGGATTATTGCATTGCAGCCATAGCCTTCTTCATAATTTTGTTCATAGCTTATTTGTCATCATACGTCAAGGAACTAGGTCTCTTTTTTGTTGTTTTCCATTCTCATGATTGTTCAACTTCCACTCAGTTTCCCATAGTGGGTAGTCCTTGACTAAGTGATATTTCTTTCGATACTTGTAGCATCCATCGGTATTGTTTATTTTTATAACCTTAGATTTGGATGAACTACTTTTTTTCACGAGTCTGCCCTTCTTGATTGCTCGTTGGAAACGTCTAGTAACCAGTATCATATCATCTTCTTTAATGCCTTGCTTCTAAGTAGTCTTGAGAAACAGGTTCTCGTTCTTGCGAGATTCACCATGCTATTGATCTAGATGATCTTGATTTAGCTTTAACTCATATGTCTCAAGGTTACCAATAATATCATCACGAGTCAGTGTATTCAAATTCGTTGCTTCAATGATTGCATTAACCTTGCTATCCCATGAGGGTGGTCGAACGCTCAGTATTTTCTAACACTTTTATTTCGTGGGATAATATCTCCAAGATATATCAACTCTTTGATGATTGATGTAAGCCTTTTATGCATCTCCAGAATTATTTTCCGCTTTTATCTTAAATAGTTCATATTGCCTAGTTAATATGTCGATCTTTGACTGTTTAACTTGAGACGTCCCTTTATGTGCACAATGCAAGGCATCCCATATGGATTTTCATTACTGCATGTTGAGGTTCTATTATATTTATCTGGACCAATACCACATATCAAAATCTTTTTGGCTTAAGCATTCTTGTTTGACATCTTCTTCAGAATATTTTTCTCTTGGCTTTGGTCCAATGGTGATACCTTTGTCATCAACCAGCATGGGAATCTTGGTCCTTTGTCAACAATATCCCAAAGCTCTAGATATTCTCCTTCCTGAAAGTTCGTGCATCCTTTCCTTCCAACAACCATAATATTTTTCGTTAAACAATGGTGGCCCTACAATCGATTATAGTTCTTGAGCGTCCGGTGATGTAACCATTCTAGATCCTTTCAAGGTGTTAGCCTCATATAAATGAACCCACTCTGATTGCAATTATTATTTTAGAGTTGAACCAGATACAAGAAGGGGGCAGGGATAGAATTGTGTCTTACTTGACTTTTGCGATTTTGAAGAACCTAGTTCCTTGAAATAAATAGATACACACAAATAGAATAAGGTTGAAAATTAAATAACACAGCAGTTTTCAAGTGAAAAACCTCCTTGCTCAATAGAGTAAAAACTATGACCTACCCTAATAGGATTTGCCTCAAATCTTCACTTTACTTCAATAAGTAGTTTTAGGTTATAACTCTATAACCAAGGGGACTAACTCTATTATCCTAACCCCTACAATCAACTCAATTGTAGTTACCCCTTCTTAAACTAACTCTAGTCTAGGAAGCTAATAAAACTCGAAGTTTCTGCACTAACTTATGATTACACTTCTCAAAAGCAAATAGGCTATAATTTAGAAAACTTGACTCAACCTAAACATATAAAGAATTTCAACAGCTTCGTCTTCAGGAACAAGTTCTTTGGTTGAGCAACTTGAATATCCAAGAGCACCTTTCTGCCGAGATTTGCTATTCTTCAATAAACTGCTTGCCTTTTTGTGAACAACATGTGTCTTGAATAGCAGCTAAGAGTCTCTTTATCTAATTGTAAAGTTAGGCTGAAGATCTTCTTCAATTAGAGCTTCAAGACCTAAAATATTTCGATTAAGGAAAACCTCTCCTGGTTTAATTTGGTTTCCTTATTTGTTTCCCAACTCTTCAACCTTTTCTTTCCATACAAGTTTTTTTTTTTAAAAAAAAAACTTCTTGAACGCGAACTCCTCCAATTAATACATTTCCTTGTAGAGCACGAACGAATCTTCTAAGGAATCCCACTTGCACAAGTATTCTGAATTTTTGTGTCTGATCAGCACTCTACAATCGCCTGCTATGAACCTAGTTCTTATATCATTGTCATCATATATGCACACTAGTCTAGCTGCATAGCAACATGTTCATGAAGCTTGTTCTTTCAACATACACAGTTCAGGTTTGTTAATTACTAAAATTGACACGTGCTCAGCTCAACACGATCATTGTTGAACCTGTGTTGTGAGGTTGAACTTCAGAAGGATCTGAAGAAATTTAACATATTATTAGATGCTAAGGGGCTAATAGAACTAGTGTGCGAGGTACAAAATACATGCGGATATATTTGGCATTTAAAAGATTAACAAGATACTATCTCCGTTCCAGTTTATTTGAACCTATTTCCTTTTTAGTCCGTTCCAAAAAGAATGACCCCTTTCTAAATTTGAATTTTTTTTTGCTTAAAGCTACAATTCTACCCTTAATGAGAAACTTTTATAACCACACAAATATTCTGGGCCCTTTTTGAATTGTTTAGGACCACAAATTCCAAAAGTCTTCATTTTTTCTTAAATTTCGCGCCCAGTCAAACAAGTTCACATAAATTGAAAAGTATTATATAGTTCTCTTTTATTAGGGGGAATATGAATAGGCGTAGTCACAGCTTTTACGAACCTGAAATGAAGTTAATTTCTTGAGAATTTAATTGTTCCAGTTGGTTTAAATCTGAAACTCAGGATTCATTGGATTATTAATTAACTGCAGATTTCTTATGAAAATAATGTGTTAAACATTTTCTGCTTTAAAAGGCAATAGGGAAGGGAATTATTGAAGGAACAACTGGGAAAATATCCTCACATACATAAGTGCATTTGGAAATATGGATAGTTGGTTTTAGAAAAGAAAAAAACAAGTTGTACAAGATACGTATATGATTAATTATTCAAAATGGTAAAACTGTTAAGATCTTGGTCACGTTCAAAGTAGTGCATTAGGCTTTCATTCAAATCCACTTGGGCAGCGATACTACTTCCACAATCTGCATCATACAACCAAAACACTTGACTTTGTCTCAGTCCAAAGGTCATCCAACATGGTTTTCCCAGTCCAAAATCAGCTTCTTTCATAGGAAATCTACACAAACTTGAACATGTGAATTCGTCCACTTGCTCATTTGCTTCCCATTCTTGGGTCATGTTGTATAAATTTGCAGCCATTGAAACTAACTCATCATTGGAAGCTTTAGCACTAAAAACCATAGTTTTGTCCGTTGCATCACGGATCAAAGCAATCAAGTTGTGGAATTCCATGTTGGTCTCATTTGGTGTGAATACCACTGGAACTTCAACTGCAAAATTTCCAAAAGCATTTGCCAATTTAGGTACACTAGCCTTACCACGTAAGTTCACTGGAAAGCTCATTAGGGAAGGCCTTAAACGCCCATTTTTAGCTTGTGAAGCACGAATTAATGCTCTCCACAAGAGAGCTGTGATCATCTCAACTCTTGAAGGCTTAAAACTCAAAACTCCATTTGCAATTTTGTCTCTCAGCTTTGATATGCTAGCTTCATTGAAAACAAACCTCTTCGCGACATACGTTTTTGTGTCTTTTGGTATAGCTAGGGAAGCAAGAGGTTTGAGGATTCTCGACGTTTCTCTTGCTGGGAAAATGTCACCTAAGTCATAGTTGAAGAAATTGATGCTGGGAATCCCCAACCTACATACTTTAGCCCATTCGTAAATGAACTTCATGTTGGTGAATCCATCAATTGTAATGTGTTCAGCTGCAACAGACAGTGCTAAGCCACCACATTCAAACCTAGTGACTTGCACAAACACAAGTGGGGTAATGGCAAAATCATAATTGTCATCCACATCTTTGATTCCTTGAGGCCAAAAATGATTTGCAAGGTCAATCTCCTTGCGTGCTTGCTCGAGGAAATCTTCGACCTGACAATTTACTTTGCCAATAATAAATGCAACGCCTTGATCAAGGCAATCCACCACACGACGGTCTTTGTTAATTCTTCCTGCTGATGGGTAAACGTGGGTTAATGTTTCGGACAAGGATTCCTCAAGAAGTTCATCAGTGATGGAATTGTTGAGCTTATGATAAATTAAAACAATCGGCACGTGCGTTCTAATGGCTAGTTGATCAAAGAAAGACAACTTGTAACTTTGAAGCTGAGTTGGAGTTGGTGATGATGGTTTTACAAGCTTCTTTGACATGATTTCTACTGCCATGGACTTTTTCAGGCTGGCACAAAGGAAACCCATTTTTTGATATAGGAGAGAAATATCAGAGTAAGACTAGAAGCTACTTGCACTGGGTAGTTGAGAAACCCTTACATCCTCACTGTATTATATATAGAGAATAAATTATTGAATACTAGAAAGAAATTACTTTTCAAGATTCCAAACAGATAAGGGATGGTGGAGACTTGTGTGGACAAGTACAACCATTAAAGAGGGAGGTTGCATGTGAAATAAATGAAAAGATCGTACCAGGAAAAAAGGAAATGTAAAGAGTCATTGTCGGAGAATAATGAGCGAAGTTCACCATGTTTTAAAAATGGGCAATTATGTACTACATTTATCAATTTGGTGTCCGCTATATGATTCTAAGTCCTATGACGAGATGAATGTTCGCAGGACCATAAAACTTTCACTTTTAATATTTTATGAATAACGAATAATAGATAAACATAACTTACAAGAACAATACTGAAAAATATATGAAGATTGTGAAAGGTTCAAAAAACAAATTCCAAAAAAGTGACTATTTCTGGTTGAGCACCTTTAACCTTCAATTAATTGATATGAACGTTTTAAATTTCTTTGATCGGAAGTTCCCGGAACTTCTTTGAAATAAATTATTAAGTGGTAAACTATTCAATTATCGAATGTATTATATTATTGTTGCTCCATATCTGAGGATAATATAGTTCTAAAAATAGTTTAAATATCATATATTTCCTATATAAAGGACCAAAACACATATTTTAGTTAATTGAAAGTTAATATACTTAACCAAATATTACAAGGATCAAAATCAAAATTTATCAATAATTATGGACCAAAAGTACGATTATCCCTAAAAGAACTATCTTGATATACAAATCAACAATAACAAGGCAGAATGGATCGAGACCCCCTGAACTTGGTACGTGTATATACGCTCGCCACCCCGCATATACACCACCCCAATACCTTAAACACATAGCAATCAAGTCAAATCCTAGGGGTTTCCATTTTAACAAGGTTAGCCAAAAGACTTACCTCTTCCTGGCCTACTTGAACCACAAATCGCGTCAAAACCTCACTCTAGCCCTCTAATCATGCAAATCCAAGCCAAACATCATCCAAGTATGTCAAACAATGCTATAGGAAGCGAGCACAATCTATAAAGTTTCGATCTTCAATGAATTCCTAAAATGTCAACAAAAGTCAACCCGGGTTCGCGTACCCGAAATCCGTAATCAATACAAAAATCTTATGATCCATAACTACTGAGTCCAAATATATAATTAGTTTCCAAAATTCGGTTCTAAATCGATGGTCAAACTCCCAAAATACACTCTTAAATTGGAGACAAAACCCCCAAATTTCCTTTAAAAATTCCATGTTTTAGGTGTAGAAATCCATATAGATTCTTGAATATAATCACAAATAGATAAAAATGACTTACCCTTTTGCCTTATATGAAAATCTCCATAAAACATCGCCCCTCCCCAAGTCTAAGGCTCAAAATTTAAAACAATGAGTAAAAATCCTAAAATATAACACTTATGTATTCTGCCCAAAAGTACCCTCCGCGAACGCGACACAAGCCTCGCATTCGCAAAGCACAAATAATGATGCCCCAGAAAATAGTCTATGGATCACATATGAGCTCCGTGATTGAGAAAGAAAACAAGCCAACACATCGCGAACGCGAAATCCAACGAGCCCCCAGCCTGGTCTGACTCTATGCGAATGCGTTATCCGATACGCGAATGTGATGGCCAAGATTACCACAACTACACGAACGCGAAATCAACCATGCGAACAAGAAGAAGACATCTCCAACTCCCAAACACACATCGCGAACGTGACCCCTAGAACGCGAATGTAGTGCACAAATACCAGCTGGCCAAGATCCTTCTCTACAATTGCTTTCCTAGCTCCTCGATCGCGAAGCATTGCAAAACACTAGAAGCTCAGCTGCGCCAAAACACATAAATGGTCTGAAACAATCACTGATCACACCCGAGCCCCTTATGACCCCATCAAATCACACCAACAAGTCCAAATATAATATTCAAACTTATCTAAAGGCTTAAAATACCAAAAATAATATCAAAACTATGAATTGAAGATCAAAATCATTCTCTCAGCTTTCAAACATTCCAACTTCGCCGAACTCGTCTAAATCATGCTTAGACATTCTGGATTACAATCAAACTTTGCACACAAGTTCTAATACACCAAATGAACCTACCCAAAGTCTCAAAATTATAATCCAAGTCTGATAACACAAAAGTCAACTTACGGTTAAAGTTATTAACTCTTCAATTCTTCAAATTGTCAACTTCCGATAAATAGAGTCAAACCTTCTAGGAACATCCAAATTTAAGTCTGAACATACACCTAAGTCCTAAATCGCCATACAAACCTATTGAAACCATCAAATCCTGATTTCAAGGTCGTTTACTCAAAAGTTAAATCTTGGTCACCTCTTCCAACGTAAAGCTTACAAATTAAAAATTACTCTTCCAAATAAATCCCCAACCTCTTAAATATTGAAACCAACCATACACGTATGTCATGACCCGAAATTTCAATCGCGGGGCCGTGATGGGGCCTAACGGGGAATGGCAGCCAAGTCAACATAATAAATAGTATGAAAAGGAAGAGCAATAAATATCTAATAACTGATCAAAAGACATAACATAAACCACCCCAAAAATTTGGTGTCACAAGTACATAAGCAACTTGATCTAGCTAAATACAAGGTTTGAAGAAAGTACAACATTGTCTGAAATAAAATAGAAACAGTACAAGAAAAAGGAAAGTTACTCCAGGGTCTGCGAACGGAAAGCGGCTCTACCTCGAATCACTGATTGGTAGTTTCTAAGTACCTCTCAGGACTTCGCTGGTACCAAAGTCAAAATATGCATAAGAAGTGCAGAAGTGTAGTATAAGTACATCTGATCTAATGTACTCAGTAAGTGTCGAGCCTAACTCCGATGAGATAGTGATGAGGCTAAGATAAGACACCTATAAAAAACCTGTGCAGATATATANAGGGGCAACAACCAAATAAATATGTACAGAATCACCAAGTAAGTCTCTTTCCAAAATAAGCAATGAAAACGCCAAGCTAAATTCACAATCCAAGTATCAAGTAAAAGTAATAAAATCATCAAATTATACGGCATAGCCCTTTGTGTCTTTACTCTTATCCTCACTATATAATATAAATAAAGTTTGTGCACGGCATCACCCTTCATTATTTTACTCTCATCCTCACATGATATGATAATGGGAAGTATGTGCACGGCATCACCCTTCGTGTTTTTACTCTCTTCCTCACATGATAATATAAAAGCAATGGCATGGCATCACCCTTCGTGCTTTAGACTCACGTTCGCTTAAGCAATGATATCAATATGCAAATATGATACGGCAACCCCCTTCATGCTTTTCACTCTTGCTCGCCAAGCAACAATAACAACCCAAAGTGTCAATCAAGGTGGGAGGCAAATTTTAATTTCAACCATGGTGGTAGAATAACAAAATTCAACTTTTAATATCACCACAACCTCAACATGAGCAATAAACACGAAAGCGAACAATTAAAGAATAAACAATCTAACTAAGACATGGAAGAATTAGCAAATGAAAAAACATGGTACAAATGAGATAAATTTCACCTGCATGCTTTAACTCATGACAACATATATATACTCGTTACGTTGCATATACGCCGTCCCCACACATAGTTCATGTAGCAAATAGACCAAATAAGTTCTAATTTCCTCAAGTCAAAGTTAATCATGACACTTATCTCTTTCCGCAATAAAATCACAATCAATCGCGGCTTTTTCTTTCAAACAAGCCTCCAAACCAACTGAATCTAATCAATTAGTGACCAAACAATTCAAAATAAGCTTTTGTAAACTACCCACAAATGAAAAAGGTTAAATTTTGATCATTTTTAAAAAAAATCAACAAAAGTTAACCCCGGGCTCGCTTGGTCGAAATCCAAGATTCTGACAAATTTTCGATGACCCATTCACCCTCGAGCCTGGATACGTGATTTGTTTCGAAATTCGGCCTCAATTTGAGGTCTAAATCTCAATTTTATAAAATTCCTAAATTCTACGCAAATTCCCTAATTTCAACCATGAAACTCATAGATTTGATGCTAAAACTTCATGAAAGGTAATGGGGAATTGATGGAAAATGAATGAGAGTTTCTTACCAATGAATTTTGGGAGAAGAAGTTCTTCAAAAATCGCCTCTAGAGTGTTTAGGTGTAAAATGATCTAAGTCCCGATTTTTTATTCTTTTACCAAGCTGCAGACGTCGAAATTGCGAACTCTTATTCATAATTGCGATGGCCGCAAATGCGAAATGCTGACCGCAAATGCGATGAGTGCATCCGACCAAATAAGTTCTAATTCCCTCAAGTCAAAGTTAACCACAACACTTATCTCTTTCCATAACAAAATCACAATCAATCAGGACTTTTTCTATCAAACAAGCCTCCAAACCAACTGAATCTAATCAATTAGTGATCAAACAATTCAAAATAATCTTTGTAAACTACCCACGAATAAAAAAAGTTCAATTTTGATCATTTTTAAAAATATTAACAAAAGTTAACCCCGGGCTCGCTTGGTCGAAATCCAAGATTCTGACAAATTTTTGATGACCCATTCACCCTCGAGCCTGGATACGTGATTTGTTTCGAAATCCGACCTCAATTTGAGGTCTAAATCTCAATTTTATAAAATTCCTAAACTCTACCCAAATTCCCTAATTTCAACCATGAAACTCATAGATTTGATGCTAAAACTTCATGAAAGGTAATGGGGAATTGATGAAAAATGAATTAGAGTTTCTTACCAATGAATTTGGGGAGAAGAAGTTCTTAAAAAATCGCCTCTAGAGTGTTTAGGTGTAAAATGATCTAAATCCCGATTTTTTCCTATTTTACCAAGCTGCAGACATCGGAATTGCGAACTCTTATTCATAATTGTGATGGCCGCAAATGCGAAACGCTGACCGCAAATGTGATTAGTGCATCCGACCTTCAAATGTTGCAAATGCGACAAAAATCTCGCAAATGCGAATAGCCCTTCATCGCAAATGCGATCTGAGCTTCGCATTTGCAAAGTTGCCAGCCCCCAGCTCCAAGCTGCAAAA